TATTGGCCATTTGTAAGCAGCACCATTTTAATAGCTATAAGTTGAAAACAACCCAAATGCCCAACAACAATAGAATAAATAAATTATGACATTTGTACTATGGAGTATTAAACAGCAATGAGGATGAATGAACTGTAACCTCACACAATATAGATGAATCATACAAACATAATGTCAAGCAAGAGAAGCCAGACACAGAGTGTATGCTGTATCATTCCATTCATATCAATTTTGAAGTCAGACAAAATAATCTACAGTGTTAGACATTAGGAGTGAATGTACCTATTGTAGGATAGTGACATAGTGACTGGAAGAGGGCCCGAGGAAGTTTTTGGGGTTCTGATAATGTCCTAATCCAGTGCTGGTTACCAGATGTGTTCACTTTGTGTACATTTATCAATCTATACGCTTATAATTTGTGTATCTTTTTATGTATGTTATACTTCAATAAAATACTCGCTCTCCCCCCACAGATGCTGTAGGGAGTACAGAGAGGTAAAACTACCATAAAGAACATAAATGTTCATTTAGGAAGAATTACACAGGAAGAGGCGCTGGAGTTGGTTCTAATTAAGGGTAGAGCTTAGATGAAAGGAGTGTTGGGGAGGGCATCCAAAATGGAGAAATTTTGTTAACCAAGAGTCCAGACATGGGAGTTTGCAAGATTAGTTTGGGAGACAGTGAGTTGATCAGTTTGGCTGAAGTGGAGGGGGACTGACTGTAGAGTTAAGACTGCATAGTTGACTAGGGTCAGGCTGTGGACACACTTCAAATGCCAGAGCTAAGAAATGGGTGGCTTTTGGCCCAGTGAAAGCCTGCAAATGTATTTTGTTTTCTGTGCTTTTGTTCTTTTTTTTTTTCCATTTTATCCCCAATGTTTAATATTTGGCAGAGTAACATAAAAATTCAATACTGAGATAGCCTATTTTATTGTGCTTATGTTTATCATACAAAGTTTGTATAGGGCTTTATTTTTCTGCCTAGTACCTGAGGGCGTTTTTATTTGCAACTCTGCATTTGAGGAGTTCATAATTACTTATATTAATCCATTTGCAGATTCTCCTGGGAGGCTCCTTTGGATAATTTGAAATTAAAGAGATTATTTTGTGAAATTATTTTTATTGTGGCACATGTCACAGCATGTCAGAGCTCCTCAGGTTAACAGAAAACTATTTTCATTTAGAATTTAACAATCTGTTGAGAATGACCAGAAATAATTTTCTTTTTCATTTTAGGTACTCCAGTAATTAAAGAGGATGAGGAAGAAGATAACTAACACCACATTTTCCACTTTGTGTTAACTTATTTAAATCTCATAAGAACTATAGATAAGTTGTCTATTTTAAAGATTCTGTGTGGGGCAAATGGTTCTTAAGATAAAACATATCTCTTTTTTTCTCTTAACCTATCCAGTATTTCTCCCCCAAAATGGTAACCCCAACTTTAAATATTGTAGTTTTCTTTTTAGAAACTACAAATTTCTAATTTTTGTCTTCAGTCCCAGTTATGTACTATATGGCCCCATCTACTGAAACCATTATAGACCAGTCATTTTTAATAACAAAGGAACAAATATGGTTCTTTAGTTTAGTTTTTTTTTTTAGGCCAGGCATTTGAATATTTATATTTAACTTTTAGATCATAGGCCATCCTTCCTAAAAGTCTGCCTCTTTATAACTCAGAAGCACAAATGTGTCAAGCCTTTGGTTTGGGAAGTGTTCCTCTTAGAAATGCAGCAGCAGCCCTAGAATCAAGACTGTAAAGTCCAGTCGGAAAAGCTATGGTGAAAAAAGGAAAAAATTAATATCTTGGAGGCCTTATAGCCCATGTTATATTTACTTATTTGTTGTCCCCAAGGTGTGTGCATTGTCAACTGGAATTTAGGTTGTATTTACCTGCATGGTCACTCAAGTCCTGTGCAGTCAGCCAGTCATTGCATGATTCGGGTCAGTGGTTAAAATGACTGTCATCATCACTCCTTTGACTAATACTTTGACCTTATTACACATATAATGTGAACCTGATCTTAGGCACACTTTTTGCTTTATAGTTTCTTATATGTTAGATAAGGAAATATATAAAAGCAGTAGTTATATTTTAATTCCAAGCCTAAATGTTGGCCATTCATTTTTGTCAAGATCTGCCCTAATAACTTCAGTCTGTTGACCCTCATGTTGGGAGAAGTGATTGTTATAAGGGTATAGACTTAAAGACTGGGTTCAGTACCTTTCAATAAGCGGAATTTAGTATTTCAAAATATATTTTTGAAAAGTTTAAAGTTAAACAGCTCTTAAAGTGAATTATGTTAAATGGTTGTGGAGAGAAAAGAGAGATTTCATTATGGAATCCCAGGCAAATAGCAGTAGTTTTGAGGATTGCTTCTTCTGTGAAGCATTGCAGGCGACTTAACCTTAAAATTGCAAAGCAATAGTTGCATGGAGAGCTTAGAATTTATCATATAAGAAAAAAATTGTTTTTGGAAAATACAAGATAATGGTAGTCAGTAACCAGATGAAGTCCGTAGCAGGCTGTGACTGAATCACTGATAGACTGCAAGAAAAAAGTCAAGCCCTCTGCCAAATTGTGCCTAAAGTCCCTCAACCAGAGACTGTTGATTCTTATTTCTCCATTTACTTGTGTAAAGCCAGTCAAAGAGGGGACAGTCATTAAAAAAAAAAAAAAAAGATTGCATAAGCAGTCCTGGCTTTCAGAAGTTTTTAGCTGTCATTTAAGTAGGAATTACATAATTTCTCTGAGTCACTCTGATCAAAAGGGACCACTGCTTTGACAATCAATTATAAATAAAATTCCAACACTTTTTTAGCTTCCTTTTAGCTCTTCCTTACAATCTTATGGGAAGAAATATTTACTTTGACTGGCTTATACATTCAAAGCCTTTGGGTATTTCTTTTGTGAACCATAGGCAATGAGAATTCCCCTTGGTAATATTTAAGGCTCATAAGCTAAGAGGGAAGACGATCTTCTTTTCTTGTACTTTGCACTTCATCTAGTAGATAAGCTTGAAGCCATATTGCTATGTAAGGATATATTTTCTAAAAGTTACTCTGAAAGTGAATATAATAGGGAATGAATGACTTCATATTGAATTTATTTATAAAATGACTTACAGTATTGGTATTTGGTTTTTCCGAATTCTGTAATATAGAATCTAATCTCTCTGTCTCTCCTTGTTTCTTAATGTCTTTTAATCATTGGTAATTCTCAGAGAAGTGTAAGGTACTTTTCTGTGTCCATTTCACACAAAATTCATAATTAAGTCCCACTCAACAAATATTTGAATGACTTCTGTGCATCCTTTTCTTGGAATTAAAGCCAGAATCCATGTCACCAGATAATGGAAGATAAGGTACATGAAGAAGTTCAGAATATTCTCTCAAATCATTCCTCAAATCATCCTTTACTGCTGCAGATTTAGCTGATATTAAATGCTTTTGGTTTATGCTTCTTGGATTAGATATTTGACCTACTTGGAATGGAGTCTGTGCTCTTTGTTTAAAGCATTATGCCATTTTAGTGGATCATTAAATTTCTTCTATTTTCATAATGATAGAACCAGTACAGTATTTTAATTTTTCACAGGGAATTTTATTTAATCAAGGAATTCAACTATCCTATGTTCCCTAACTCTAAGCTTATATCTGTATTACCTAATCAGGTCTTGTATGGTTTTCATGTTCTCTGTTAATAGGAGTTCGTTCCTTTAAACCAGAGTTTCTCATCCTTGGCACTGTTAACATTTGAGGTTGGATAATGTTGGGGGCTGTCCTGTGTAGTATAGGATGTTTTAGCAGCATCTCTGGCTTTTACTCACTAGTTGCCATTAGAACCCTCTCCCAAATTGTGACAGCCAGAAATGTCTTCAGACATTGCCATCTGTCCTCTGGGGCAGAGGTCTGGGAACAAATTGGCCCCTGGTTAAGAACCAGTTCTTTATAGCAACGTTCCTTTTGTCCAGGGTCCATTTATTTTCACTTTCTAGCCGTGAGCCACCTGAGTTATTGTATGGAAAGAAGGTGATGTATTTAATAATCATGGATGGAAGGAAATGGTCACTGGTGTTTTCATTTGTAATGCTCATTTTAATAATTTTTACATAACACTAGAAACTCAGGGCTGGAAGGGTTCAACTTATGTTTTCAGCAGGGTCTCAATTTTTATTATTTAGCATTCTTGCTTACCTTAGGACAGTAATTATTAACCTACCTCTCTCTTACTATCAACAGAATCCAACTTTATGATAGATTTTGCTTTTTCTCTAAAGTTTAACATTTTGAATGTACTTTAGAAAATGGAGTGTACATTATTCTTTAAATGTTCATCCTGTAAGTGTTCATTCATTGTCCAATAATGCACAATTTTGCAGACTGTAGCAATCATTAAATACAGAAAAATGTTGTATAAAACTTGGTAATCATATATGAACGTTAGCTGGTGTAGACACTGATTTTGTATGTGATCAGAAGCATGTCTGGTCATGATAACTGGCCGATAACGTTGGCATGGTTACTGGATCTATTCCACAAATAGAGGTGATATAAGACACTTAAATGTGGTTCCTGTGTAGTAAGAGAAATTTTATCTTGACTAGATGTGTCTTCTGATACTTCAGCGGTCTGAAGTAGAGTAAGGAGGAGTAAGAAATGAATCTTAACTGTTGACTTATTCAGAGTTGGTGATGTGTAAGTAGAGTTGAAGGTAGTTGTCTCCATGACCCAGGATCTTCCACCTGGATTTTTTTACGGCTAAATGGAAAGTGTAGGTCCTAGAAAGGTTGGATTTAATCATTATCTTTTAAAAACTAGGGGGAAGTGTTAAAGCATCAGTCATGAGTAGTTAGAGTCTCTCTAACTGCAGTCTGACTGTCAGTTCACAAAGACCTTATGTAAGTGTTGGTAAAGGGAGGAGAAAACTAACTGCTAAATTGAAAGTTATCCTCTACCAGAAATTAATTCCTTTGGCAGACATTTTCTTTATTTGGGCTACTTAATGTGTCTGTAAATAAATATAAAAGAAGATTCAGTGTAGTGGAGTTGGTGCTTCTGACACAGCTAACTTAACCATATTCCTTTATCTTCACTTTAGCATGGGTTTTTTTTTTAAACTATAAAATAAGTGCAATAAGAAAATTAAGGGTATTTTTTTTAGATCACTGAACTTTTAGAAATCCCACATCTGTATCTCTATTCCTGCCTTTTTAAAAACCAGTGACTGCAAAGAAGGAATATTGAAAAGAAAAACAAAATTGAGTCTTACCTTTTTCAGACCTAAGATTAATTTTCACTTGACACTTGGAAAAGTCATAACTGGATTCTAGTTTCCCATATTGGGCAGGTTAGAGGAGAACCAGCCAACCAAATTACCATCTAGCAAATTTAACAGGGGAATAGGGAAGAGTAAACTATTTTTCAGTAGATTTGCACTTTAAAATGATGAACTGGATGCTGGTGGAAAGTACTCCTAAAGGACAGATAAGTACAGTTGAGTAGCCTGCATGTGGATATTAGAGTATCAGACCTCATCCTTGCTCGTTCTAAGCCCACCTGAGCAGTAGTCATCTGTTGATGTAAACAGGGTCAGGATTTCCCTATTTCCCTACTTGGTGTCATCTGCTGATGTCTGCTACATCAGCAGTCATCCCTCTAGGGGATGTCAGGTAGAACTCTTCTATTCCAAATAGAAACTTTTTGAGTTATCTTTTCCACATCTAGATTTTAAAAATTAATTTAGATGTTGGCTAGATTAAGTTGTGGCTCATGTTACAAGGGTGGAAAGTTCTCTGCTTCTTTGGTCATAAGGGTACTTGCCTCTGAGGTGCTATTGCCTAGAGGGATCCATCCCATCAAGACTGGTGAGTTGGTAGCCATAGAGAATATACATATAGCCAGCTACTTCTCCCAGGGTGCCAGTCATGATCACGAGCATCATTCCAGAATCTGGCTTCTAGAACCAAGGCCATTCTGAAAAACATTTTAACATCTATTAATACTATTAATACTTTTATATGCAGGAATTTTGTAGCATGACTTTATGACTAAACTTATTGTGTTAAATTATTTAGAAATGTTGTTTCTGAATGTTATTTTGTGAGATTTGTTTTAAAATAGTAATAAATTGTGTTATTTTATAAAAAAATTAATGTGTATCTTTTTTGGTTATATGTCCATTGGTTTTAGCTAATATAGAATAACTATGTGAACTTACAATGATATTCATTTCTAAAGAAATTCAGTCTTTGGATAACATTCCACACGGCTTGTGTGTCAGAGAGAGGATGAGAGAGAGTGGGAGGGATTGACATTTCTTTATGCTAACATTTTTTTCAATAGTTTACTACCAATGATAATCTCCTATTTCAGGTTTGTTAAGTCTTCCCCAGAAGTTCTCTGGGCACCATTTCAAATGACTAGGATCTTGGAAAGAACACTTACAGAACAGCAAGTTACTTGGCCATTCCTAGTCCTCTCCTCACTTCCAGACGTGTACGTTAAAATTGGCTGGTAGGACCTTGTTTTGTGGTCTGAAATGACCTGAAATTGGCTAGCCCTTTTTTGATACACAAGCAACAGGAAGAACCCAGCAATAGCAGTAATGTTACACATTTTCCCAGCACATATCCCGTGGTCAGTCAAATGTAATTTTGGTCACAGAATAGTTCTATAGTACAGTTTCTACTTCTTTATTCTACAGTTCCTTGGCTGTGAGAATGTTTTTCTTGCTGCTGTTCTCCTTTAAAAAGTGGAAAGATTTTAATTTGAGCCTGTAAAGAGAAAAACTTAATTCCCATCATAAATAGCACATTTACAATAGCACATTGTTTTCTAGAACAAAGGGTGGACATCTAGAATCCTGACATTGTTTTATGCTATATATGTGTTGTATTATATATGTATGTACATGCAGATATATATAATTATTATATATAATAAGACTACTAGATGTTGACTCTCCCTCCTAAAATGCAACCATTTCTACAGCCATAAAAAGAAGGTATATCCCTATGTACAGATGGAAGGATGCGCATAACATATCGGGTGAAAAAAAATAAAGAATCCATTGTTTGTTATGAATGTAATATATGTTGTGTGTGTGGTAGGAAGACGGAGTATGTTTATGATGGAGTGTTGGGGGCAAGGAGAGAGTGAATGTGTGAAGACACGATTGTGAGAAGTGAGGAGAGTATACCCAGCACCATGCCTATGAGAAGGGAGGAGGAAGTTACATGAGTGGTAAAGGCAGGGAATGGGGGCATGCTTGTGGGGGTCAAAGATGTGGAGACGTGTGTGTTGAGAAGAGAGTGAGAGGGAGGAACAGACATGATATACAGGAAGTAAGGACATGAGTGTACAGAAAAATCTGTTAGAACATATGCCAATATTCACCTTTATAAGTAAATTTATACCTTATGATTATTACATAGACCAGCTATAAATTTAAAGCCTTGTTACTAGGAAAAAACCGCACAGAACCCTTATGTTCATTTAATCACTTCTGGATTTAGTAAGATCTCAAAAGATGGACTGCTTCAGTCACTGAATCTCTACAACCAAATAAACATGTTTTTAAGCCATATTTCCCTTTTTATATCCTCTTGATACAACATGGCTGCTGTAAATGAGAAACGTTAATCGTACACAGGTATGATGAGTTGTTATTCTTGCAGCAAAACATTTTTAGCTGGAAAAGGTCTTAAAGGGTGAGAAAAAGCATTGTAGATAACCTCTCAAACCCCATTTTAGGATTTTCTAATATTTTACAGTAAGTTAATATTTACTTATGTCTATTTTGCCTTCTAACATTTGTCTTGTAGAAAACATGCAAAAATCAAAATATATTAAAAGGTATTGCAATTTAAACTTACATAGTATGATATAAACTTAGAGTAAAATAATATGTTTGATTTTTTTTTAGTGGCATGGGGAAGTCGTCCTAAGAAAAGGAAATATAGAGCTTAATTACACTGAAGTTTTTAATACATGTTTCTTAAAAACAAGAAGACAACAGAACTTTTAAAACATTTTTATTTATATACATGTATTTGATAACTTCGAATTTAGAACACTTAGAATCAGCACGAACAAGGTAAACTACTCATCAAAGATTTGAAATGGGGGAATAGATACTGTAACTGGTTCATATTAACTTCCCCATGCAATTTATATCCGTATCTTGTACAGTGGAAAACTGACTTACACAGCTCTGTAAGTGCAGTGTTTTTCTAACACCCCATTTTGTAGACTCAATACTTTTCAATTAAACTGATCCAGATGTTTAAAGATGAAAAATAAATTTACACTGTAAAGTCGAATAATATCTAATCAATTCACGTTTCTTTCCATTAATATAAATCAGGAGCAATTTATAGTAAATAAAAACTATTCACGATTGTCGTAATAACAGTTCACATTTTTACTGAACTTGTGTCAGCCAGGCCCTGCGCTAAACATCTGAACATGCAATTTCATACTTAATTACCTCTATGGGAAGTGTCACAAGTTCACGTTTTTCACAACTGATGATGACAGCTTCACTGAGCACTCTTGTCCAAGCCTTTCTCGGGCATTGTAGCTAGCTAGCACGACTCACTTGTACCGCAGCATCACTGGTGCTCGATGCATGGTTTTACTGTTATATGAATACTCAGGCCCTACTTCCCCCCAGAAAAAACACAACTAAGTCTTCACTACTAGGAGACATGCCTGTAGGACAGCACAGAGAGCGAAAGCAGCTGTGATCTAGGTCTGCACCAAAGCCCCTTTTTCTGGAACTCAGAAGTGCCCCTCCAGGCCTAACTGCAGGAGGGCGGCCTCAGCCTCCTCCTCTTCTTCCTTGGCCTCTTCCTCACGGATCTGCACCAGCAACTGGAAGAGGTTAGGCGCCGGCCCTTCCGCAGCCCCTGTCAGCCACAGCTGCCTTCGGATGGCCCCGCTGTGGTTGGCCCCGGCAATAACCTGCTCCAGGCGGGCCTGGTTCACGTTATCTTTATCTATGGCCCCCTTCTCCACCACCTTCTGCAGCAGAGGCTCCAGACGAATGACATAAGCAGATAACTTTTCTCCCGGGTTCTGGTAAGTGTTCAGAAATCTGACCTGAGCATCCCTAGAGCTCTCGACACTCCCAAACACCTGCTCAAGCGCCTTCAGGCATTCGGCGGTAGTAATCGCAGGGTTGTTGGTCTTTAGGATGCGGATGACATCAGCAGCAGGGCCTCTAAGACTCTCCATCAACCGCCGCCTCTTTTCTACATCAGACACCTGCCACTCCTCTATGACCTCATTAGTGTGCTCCAGCCAGGGATCAAAGGTCTCCTCCCCAGGCCCCGGGATGTCCCTCCCGGAGAACAGCGTCAGCTTCTTATACCATATAGACTCAACAAGAGGCTGAATAACATTATCCAAAATATAGTTTAGCATTTCTGTTGGCATATCTGGGCCTGGGGCCGGAGTGGGGTTCTGAAGCCCAAGGACACGGGCAACATCTTGCACGGTCCACCCCTCTCTCGCTAGGAAGAGATGCAACCTTTCTAAAAATTCAGCATCTGACGTCGGGGGCTTAAAGATTACTTTCCAGACCCCTCCTTTACCTGGCATCTCCCTGGGGATCGCGGCGTAATCCACAGCGCCAGTGAGCTCTAACAAGGCTGCTTTGGCATTCTCTTCCCTCCAGAACATTCTCCCAAGCACTCGATAGGGTACCTGGGGCATCGCAGCCTGGAGAGTCTCTTCGATTTCAGCCTCATCACAGTTCACTGGGATCCCCCAGACCAGCAGGGCTCTCTGGGAGTTCACATCCATCCCTCTACACCAGTCTTCCAACAGTGTCATCGCCATTGTCCCAACCAACTATAAAGGGTCCCAATTCTACAAATACGGATTAGACTGTGGCTCCGGGTGCTCTAGGACTTAGGACAACAGCGGACACTCCCCTCCCCCGACCCAATATGCCCAAGGGAGGCAAGCTTCACGCAATCACGATTGACAGAGGACACGAGCGCCCCGCTCTCATTCTTTCGCTGCCCCCTTAAGTCAGTCCTTCCCCGTTCTCGGAGCGAAGCATCGGGGATGCTCAACCAGTCACTCGGCCATCGCCATCTTGCGACTCTGGTCGGGGTCAGCAGGCTGGGTCCTCCACCTGCAAGCAGGATGTCGCAGAGCAGAGAACTGGCGAGGAGCGAGGGTGGGTGGCGCAGGCAGGAGCAATCCGCGCCGGAGAGGCCGCCCGGCTGTGATCGCGGGGCGTGGCCGCCCCGTTTCCCAAGCCCGGGCGCCGGGAACTCACTGCTGCCGGCGTCGACCCGGCTTTCGCGGTCGGAGCCCGGCTTTCAGGCCGGCGAAGAGCCGCTTCTCTGCAGACGAGAACTGTGCAGAGGGAGAGACTGGCCTGGGGTCGCAGCGTCCGCGGCGGGGCCAGCCGGAGAGCGGCTTCTTCACTGACGCAGGAACTCCTCTAGGCGGCGAGGACGGCCGAAGACCCAGAACACAGGCAGCGGAGGCGTGGGAAGGATATGAAAGCGAGGCTAAAGGCAGCGGAGGCGAAGGCGGGCTGGAGCGGCCGCGCGCCCGTGCTGCGGCGGGCTGCAGGAGGCTAGCGCACCGCGGCGGCAGGCGGCTCAAACCAGCAGCCAGCCAACGCGTTACTGCCGCAGTGGAGGCGGGCCGGCGGGCGAGCGGAGGACGCCACGCCCCGCCCCCCCCCCGCCGCGGAGCCTGCGCGAGCGTAGCTACGGCAACGGTGGCCCAGACGACGCGGGGCCCGCGCACTCCGGCCGTCCGCGGGGACGAGCGGTTGCCATAGTGCCAACGAGGGGCTCCCTGCATTAATTTCTCTAATGGCGCGTTTTCTTTTTCACATCTTCTAGATATTTTTTAATGCAAAGAACTGTGTTAAAAAGTAAAAAAATAACAATTCTGGAGTGAATTTAAAATGATATGCGTCCGTCAAGGCAGACTTGTCTACTCATGTCGCTCGTTCAATGAGTTCAAAGCTCTGAAAGAAAATACCCTGTACCGACTGATCGCACTCTGCACCCGCCAAATTTCATCCCAATGAAACGAAAACGTTGGAAATGGGCCTTGTTTTTGTGTGAGACGATGAGTTGAGACTTTTGTCAAATTTTGTTAAAATATCTAGATCTATCCAGTAACCTTTGTAGCCAGGCAAACTCTAGTGTGTTATTTTCCTTGTCCTGGCATCACTGACAATGGGCTGATAAAACAGAATCCTTATGGTTCAAAAATGTCGAGTAATCCCTTGCAAGCAAAACAAGGCCTACTTATATCAGTCCCAGATGCCAGATGGTGAAAAATCTCCCCCAAAGGTACACAGCATTCAACTCTGAATTTTTAAAACCTTATTTAATAAAAGGTTTAAAGATACAGAAGGACATTCAAAAGTAAATAAGTTACATAGGTACATTACAATCACATCAGCAAGATTTTCTTTAGTGTGTTAATTTTTTTTTTATAAAAAGCACACAAAAAATAAAATCTTCAGTCTGGTCTATCACAACTGTACAGCAAAAGAGGTAATATTTATATATATGTACACTATTTTAATATGTAACAGTCTTTTTAAAAAAGGGTGCCACAGGCAGCAAACACACAAAAGGCAGTGTCTGATTTTTTTTCAAAATAAAAGGGATATACTTATTTATATGCTATTAAAATATTTTTACAATAATTACAGACTGTCAAGGCTGTTCCTGTGCTCTATCCCCTCCAACAAGGCCTTCGACTAAGAGACAAATGAGGAAAAGGTGACACAGCTGCAAATTGTTAGAGGCAAATATTAACACAGCAAAATATAAGGAGGACATACAATTGTTTTATAAAAATATGCATACTTCCTGTATACCTAAGGACTTAGGTTTGCCAATCTGGTAATAAATACCATCCGAGAAAAGTGAGCCCCAGTGAAAACATATTTAAATGGCTGAGGCTTGAGTCCATGTTGTATTCCTCCTTCATCTTAACATCTGGCACATGAGAACAGATTAGGTCACTGAGGCAGTTAAATATAGGGAATCCCTTTAGACATAAGCAGCACATGACCTCTGTGCCAGGGGTGGAAGTGGGGTGGCAGAAGGGATGGGTGTGTACATTAGCGATGAGGGGGCTGCTGAAGGCATGGAGGACAGTGCTGAAGCACTGTCTCCTTGGGTAGGTAAGAGACCTCAGAAATGGTCTAGAACACAGGCACTAGGTCAGTTTCATGCCCTTAGCTGAGTGTAGATGGAGGCTGAGAGATGGATATGTGAGCTATGTGAGATGGTGTGGGTAGGAGATTATAAAGCTGAAGGTGTTTGTCATTTAACTTCTTAAAGCAAAGAGCTCTGAATAGAAGAAAAAAGAAAAGACAAAATATTAGCCTAATGTGTCCACAGGGAGAAAGCACCATAAAGGATAGACCTATGCCAGCCTCTGTGGCTACACCTACTTTACTGGCAGGTCACTTGCCACAATTGCATCTGCCCTCTAAACATTTTACCTTTCACACTGCATTCTAGATATAAATCCATCCTGGAGCATAAAGTCTTCTAAAATACGGTGTCTGGTGGGGTTAATACAGAGAGTTACCATCTTGATTTTCTCACCTACATTCACCTGGTCTGGTCTCCGTGAGCTTAGAGGAGAATCACTTTAGATGAAGGAGGTTTCTGTTACCACATATCCAAAAAAGAGGCCTAAAACTAAATAGGTTTAAATAGAAAAAACCTTGGGAAACATAAGTAGCACTTTGGGGAGAAGCTGTGAAGGCACTCATATTACACATGTGATTTAGAAGAGAGCCTAAATTTGCTACCCTCCTGTTTGGGGACAGTATACCAAATTTTTGCTATCTTGGGATACTGAGCTTCCATATAGAAGCCTATGGAAGAAACTGGGAAGTTGGAGGTCTTAGGTAGCCGTCAGGAGTTGGTGGGGGCGGCAGGGAGAATTTTGTTACTCCCATAGCTGAGTTCCTGTATAACCATAATGCATAAATGAATGCTAAAAAAATACCAGATAGTGCATAGTTAAGAAACAAAACTCCCTCCCCACTCCCAGTTACCAACATGATGCCTTTAGGCTATCTCATCAGAGTAGCAGAATGAATACTTTTTGGCTCTTCCTAACATGTTAACCTATCATATACTTGCATTCATTTAGAACTTCTTTTACACAACTAAAGTTGAATAACAAGATCAGAAAATCAACTCAGCCCTCCTATGGGACTGGCAAGTGAAGGGGCCTCCAGAACCTTCCAGCTCTTTCACTTCAGTGACTTCACACCAAATATGGCTTCTTCAAGCCAGAAGCAAAACCAGAAGCAAAACCAGAATGCTGGCTTCCAGCCAGTCCCCTCAGGCAACTTGAAAGTACAGCCAGAAAAGAGGTAGCAACAAGAACTGCCTTTGATCTCCCTTGATACTGCTAGTCTCTGTGTGGCTCTGTGACACCTTCCACCTTTCCACCCTCTTTCAGTGCTACTATCATTCCTATTGGGAAAACTTCAGAGCAACAAGGCGAGGGTTCTTAGGATCTTGGGAATGGGGGGGGAGGGGCGGATGCTAAGAAAGTGCCTTGTTTTGGGATAAATGCACTTGGGCCTCTGGAAAGCAGGAAGCCCCTGGTCCCTGAGAGGATGTTAAAAATTAAATATTAACAATAAATAAATAGCTCCCAAATGACACAAGTCAAGGAATGAAGGCTCCTGTCCAATCTGGCTAGGAGACCTCCCCCCTCCCAGGGAAGGATCCAGAAATCTCCAGCATGCAGGACTGGGGTCTGGGCTCTATCAGCTCTAGACCAGGTTGGGTGGGGTTAGGTGGCAGCTGCCAAGGGCAGAACAGAAGCAGGCGGGGAACCTGCACCAAGGAGGAGCAGGCTGGGCCTAGGTTAAGCTTCCTTAGCAGCCTCCAAGGCCCAAAGGTATCTGGCAAAAAGGTGGCAAGCTGGGAGAGCCAAGACTTATTAAAAGCTCCCTAGGCCTAACCCTGAAGCAAAACTGCAGCTTCCATCCTCTGTACAGTTCCCTTCCCTCCAGCGGGCTGAGAGCTTGGACAGGAACAGTGGCCCCTTCCCCAAACATCTGAAAACACTTTCCAGCCCCAGCAGGCTGCTAGCAAGCAGCAAAGGGATAGGTAGCAGTCCTGGTCTCTCTCCCTGCACGCTCTGATAGCCTCCCTCCTAGGGAGGAGGGGGCCTCTCTGAAGATCTAGTCACTAGAGCAGCATGACCTGAACACTGTCCTGCAGGAGACAGCACAGGTGCTACGCTGAGCTCCCTCTCAAAGCTGGCCACCACCCTTCCTCCCAGTGAGTCCCTCTTTCGGGGGCTTGGGGCAGGGCCCGTTCAGGTCCCCTGGAGAGGAGGATTAATGCTGCAAAGGGGCGCGCTAGTGCTTGGCTTTCCTTGGTGAGAAGGGAGCAGCAGGAGCAAAGAGGGAGCACGGTAGCAGACGTCCATGAGAGAGAGAGCAAGCGGTGGCAGCACTGGAGCCCCTCCCGGTGGGCGGCCCCAGGGAGCAGGGCCTCTCCCAGTTCCAGGAAAAGACAAAGACAACTTCCGACAGACCAAAGGCAAGAGAACTGGATCTTGCAGCCCTTTACACTGCTCCTGGGACCTTTATAAATAAAAGAGCCGTTTATTTAATCGTCCTATTCGTTTTGCGGAGACAAGTCCACGTGATCTCTCCCTCCGGAGATTCCGGGTGCTGGCAGGACGTCGGCAGGCTTGGGTAGGACCCGGAGCCCGCGGTGTCAGCCCCTCTCGCCGGCGCCGCTCTCCTCCCTAAGGGCCGGCTGGTGGGAGGAGGCAGCGGCCGCAGTGGCGGCGGCGGCCGCGGCCTCTTTCTCCTTCTGCCTCAGAGCGGCCGCCTTCTTCTCCTGCTCTGCGTGGCTCTTCATGTGGGCGCTGCGACTCTTCACCTTGTAAAACACCCTGTATTCGGGCAGGAGGGGCTCCAGTGAGAGGTCTGTCCCCACCACAAGGGGTACGCGTCTGTACACGACGCGCGGACGCCCGCGGTGGGGACTCCTCGGCCCTTTCGGACAGCTCCGCCCCACGTGGCCCAACCCCCACCCTCCAACGATGGGCTCCCGATTCCAGTGCCTTCTCCCCTCTGGTAAAAGCTGCCAAGGGACGTCACTGCCCTGGAAACCCTCTGAGCCAATCAGGAGGCAAAGCGAAAGCACCGACTCCTCCTCCTTCTCCCGAGATTCTGCCCCTCCCCCAACCAGGGCCAACCGGCTAGCCCCAGTGAAAACCGGGCCTGCCTTCTCACCTGCCACATTTTTTACAAGGGAACGTGTTCTCCTGGTTCTGGGTCTTGCTAAATGTCTCTGCTTTTTTCTTCTTCTCCGAAAACGGTAGTGCCCTTCGTGACTTCCCTGGCCCCTCCCTTGGCTTCTCTGAGGCTTGGCCACTGGCAGACCCAGGGGCATTGGACTCGTGGCTTCGGAGGATGAGGATGTCATTGGCCTGCAGACGATCATACAAGGAAAGTTGAGAGATTTAGGTAAGACAGGATCCCAAATTCTGGAATCTCAGTAGAGGGCTCTTAAAGGTCATACCCTCCTGCCAAATGGTCCCCTAGCATCCTCTTGAATCCTTCCAGTGAGGAGGCACTCGCTGCCTTTTCAGCAGCCCTTTCTATCTTTGGCCAGCTCTATTTTTACAAAGCTGCTGGTATAGTAATTTTGTAGGATAGTCCTAGCAGCTACAGGACTTCTTGATGCATTTGACAGGGGTCTTAGTATCTCAATTAATGCCATGGGTTTATGTTTTCAGTCATTTAGTCTACTCATGACTTCACTCTGTAAGTGCCCTTCAAATCTGTGTAATGTGCCAGGTTACACAGAAGATACAGAGGTGACAGGAGGCCCTGCCCTCGGAAAGCTCACAGTCTAGTGGAAGGGACAGGCATGCAGACAGCTAGCTGATGGCAACATGAGCCACCATGGGAAATGCCAAGCAGGTGCCAGAGAGCACAGGACATCCGGTGCAGACCTGGAGAGGTACTGTAAGGGTATGTGAGCCATGGGCCTCAGGTTAGGGCAGCCCCAGATGGCCATTAGAAGTGCCCCCAGTTGACACATGCACTGGGTCAACGGCCACAGGAAAAGTGTTCACAAAAATTCAGCAGAACTCAATCGAGTGTGTACACAGAACACAACTCTTGCAGGAGCACAGCCAAGGCTCAGAAGGGAGGAAACAGCTGTATGTCTACAGTTTGTGGGGGGTTTTAAGCAAGCGTAAGTGTACAACACAAATTAAACGAAAGAAGACTCTCATAGTACTTCTCCAACAGACCCTTCCCATCCCTACTCTCTACTGGGGGACCTCTCCTTGACAAGAAACAGCTCTGACCAATATGTCTTGCTTCTTGGCCTGTGATGTGGTGGACAGAGCACTGCACTAAGACATAGGGTGGGACATCAGGCAAATCACTTAGCATCTCTGAACCCAGTTTCCTCCATCTGCAAGGTGGGGGTTAACACTTTCTGGGGTCATTGTGAAGAATTAATGAGATAATGGACAGGAAAGCACTTTGCAGACAACATGCATGAAAGGCCACTATTGTTATTCTCATCATCTCAGCTGAGTTTCAGACATTCTTTTCAGGGTCGAAGCTCTCTTAGGAAGAGCCCTGTCTGAGCTATAAGTCACGGATGCTTCCCCAATGTCCCATACTCTTTCTGGGTTTTCACAAAGGCTTTTTCCTCTGAGTCTCAGATACAGGAGCAGTATAGTATAAAAATTAATAGCAGATTCTGGAGTCAGGCTGCCTACTACTTGTCTTATCTTGGGCCTCAATTTCCTCACCTGTTAGATGAGAATAATGACAGTACCTACCACATGGGGTTATGAAGATTAAATGAGTTTACAGCTTGAAGTATTTAGTACATTTCCTGCCATTATGATGATGATCATTGTCATGTTCCTGCTCTGCCCTCCCTCTCACACCCCCAGGCCCATCTCCAGCTGCCCTCCTGGCCCTGGGCTCCCCAAGTGGAGGTCACACTTACCGACTCATTGGCCTGTAGTGTCTGTGTGGCTTTGACGGCTGCTGCCCGCCGGCTTCGCTCTCGCCCCTCTTCCTGCTCCCCCTTCTCCTGGGTCTCTGGCATCTCCTCCTCCCCCCCTTCCTTCCTGGTCTCCTTTACTTCCCTCTTAGGCTCCAGCCTCTCTTCATTTGGGGACGCTCTTCTTGGAGGAGGCACCCTTGGGAACTTCTGAGAAGTCTATGGAGGACAAGAACAGGGCAGTGAGCCTACAGCTCAGTCACACAGCCATCTGCACCGACTCTGACCCTGCCAGTCCTGCTTACCTGGCCTGGCCCAGCACAGCCTCCTGTGCTGGGACCCCATACCCTCCCACAGCTAGTCTGCCTGTAAAAGGAAAGTTTTGAGCCCTGGGAATCCTCAGGGTGAGCACTTAAAATAGAGCTGGGGCAGGAAAAGGCATGCCAGTCCCTCCCCACAGGCCATCTGTCCTCCTGGGTGTATCCAACAGACACATCCTTGGGCAAGGTGGTCTGGTGGAGCCAGGCAGCAGCCTTGAGCTCCATTCAAAGCTACCTTGATAATGTTTTCTATATCTCCCCTTCTCATCTGCAAATCAGGACTAAGCCACTCCCTGTCTTACAGCAGCATGTCAACAAGTGTGGATTTCTGACCCCAAGATCATATTAGGTAGATACATGGGCACAGAATTAAATAACATTCTCTTAAGCTCTCTTTCAGTCCTGATTATGGCAAGGAAAAAGTCTGGAGTTGGTGTTAATACGTCTTTTATACTTCTCTATACTTAACAAGGAGGGGTCAGGCCTTACCCTAGAGCCTTGGCAGGTCATAGTATCTAGCTAGAATTTAATAACATTCGTTTTCATATATATTTTTACCAGTACTTCCTATGACAAGCAACACTGGTTTCCTATTTATGACTGTGATATAAAGCTTCCCTTTTGGGTACAAAATGAGCTGACTTAAAGGAAAACATTAAGTAGTAGCACAAGTGTGGATATGACAAAGATAGTAATGGTGACATATGGTAGGATGCAGAAATAGCAGAGTTCATAAAGGTGATACAAGTATTACTAAAGTTGGGAAACCGTGTTAGAGGTCTGCTATGAGACAGTAAGTCAATGCTGGTGTAAATACTGTGGGAAATATCCCCCAATGTTCTGCATCAGTACGATGTATTATGATGACACTGGCAAATAGAGAGGGGAACCCAAAGGTCCAGGGCCAGTGCCCAGGACATCAGCTCCCTGGGGCTGTCAGAGACACTGCCTCCTTCTCTCTGCCCTCCAGGGACTCCTGGAGAGATCAGCCTCAGGCTCCCAGCTCAGCCCTCACATCAGACCCCAGCCCAGGCTCTAAGCAGCTGAGGCTGGGAAGGGAGTCACCTTAATATCCACTTCAACCTCTTCCTGGGCTGACTTTTCATCACTTGTATCCACATCCCCGAAGGTTAGCGTCCCATTCCGTCCAATCTTCACCTGCTTCTTGTAGGTATAGTAAAACTCCACACACTGGGCCACAGTCTTGGTCTGGATCTGGTTTGGAGCCAAAACAGAGGTCAGAGTTCCTGGTTCAGCTCACCTGTTTGGGGGTACTTTCTCATCCCTGCA